CTGAAAAATAAATCTTCCAAAGATTAACAGGGGAGAAAAAAAAACCTGCAAATTATTTTGTAAGTTTTTTGTGGCATGGGAGCCTCAGAAATAGAGTCATGGAAACAGGAAAACTTGTGTATTTTTATGTGAAGTTTGAAGAAGTAGATGGTGGTGGAGAAGGCTGATTTGGACAAGAGATGTGGTCTGATGGTCAGTGACTGTGCAGGGCCCGGGGAAGATATTAGCAAGGCCTGTTTGTGTGGCCCTCCTGTGTCCTTGTCTTCAGAGGTCAGGATGTCCCTTCCCTCCGGTTATAGGGAGGGCATCTTACATGAGCCTCTTCCCACCTGCTTCAGAGGAAGGGCAGAGAATTCTTTCTGGCTTTATGACCTGGGTCAGGGAGAAACTCAGGGAGACTTTCTTCTTTCGCAATTTTCTCAACTTCCTCCAGCTTAAAGTATTCCGTATGCCCAGAGGCCATATCTGGGGGTCGTGTGTTCTGAGCCCTGTCATCTGAAAGGACTCAGGGGAGCTTCACTAAAGTTTTGGTCAAAGGAGAAAGTCTTTGTCAATCTCAGGTAAGCCGTTTCAGTCTCAAAACGTGTCCTTCAGTTGTAGAAATTTTTCTTAAAGTTGGTTATTGACTCTTTTTTCTCCTCTGTTTTATTCTATTTCATTTACTAGAGCTCCTATTATTTTGTTAGAAATGTTACACACATTTCTAACTTTTTCCCTCTATTTTCCATCATTTTGCCTTTTTACTATGCTTTCTGGGAGACTTGTTATCCATTTATCTCCTAATTATATTGCATTTTTTCATTTCTTCCCCCACCCACAGTTTCAGTTTTCAAGAGCTCTTTTCATTCCCTAAATGCTTCTTTTTTACTAGCCTATTTTTTTTCTTCATAGTTGCAATTTCTTCTCTTATCTCAGTGAGGACATTATAATCTGTGTGGTTTGGCTTTTCTGTTTGGGAAGTTCCTTCCTTCTTATTTGTTGCCTCCAGATTCCTTTGTGTGCTTGTTTTTATCCACTGCCTTCCATGTGAGAGCTGCTCTCATGGCATATTTAGTACTCCTGATTATCTTCTGACACTCCCTGATTGTCTTCTGATGGAAGCTACAGAGCGACTGGGAGCTCCTAGAATGTGAGGGAGGCTCTGTGTGGATTGTGAGTAATCTGGATGAACTGTTTAGTTTGAAAACTTTGAACAATGGTGTCTTCAAGTCCTTCCTCCTGAGCTGATAGTTGAAGGTGAAGGCCTGCCGGTCAGCATTGTGGAAGCTGAGTATGGACAGGCAGCTTCAGGATCTACATATGTTCATGTGATCGAACTTTCGCTAGTATATTGTCACCACCTCCATCTGTGTTTTATCCTCAACAAAGATTAAATCTCCAGCCTTTTCCCCTAGTGGGACCGGGCGTACTTATCAAAATGTTCATGGTAGGAAGGGAATCTGAGGATCTGTGAAGCAGATTTTTATCCTTCTGATTTCAGCCATTCCTTCTCTCATTCTCCCTCCACTTCAGATTCCTGTACCCCTAATTTTGAAACTGCATAATTCTGCAGTGTAAATCTCACTGGTTCTCAGTTTTTCCCTTAACCTATTTAGGCTTCGGTTTTCTCCAACCTCTTATCACTCATCTTTCTTTATAACTTCTAATTTTTTGATGATGTAGTCATCCCTGTAGGTTTATACAATTAAAAATCCTTTAATGGTAGTTGTATTAGTGTTTCAGGAGAAAGAGAGAAAAGATGGAGCTGTTTAATCTACCATCTTTAACCAAAAGCCTGTGTTCAATTCCTATATCATAGATACAAATATGTAATTATATTTACCCTGTCCTCCCAAAATATTCCATCGTTTAAAATTTTTATTTAAAATATTTTAGGGGTGGTGTTGTGGCATAGAGGGTTAAGCTACCACCTGCAGTGCTGGCTTCCTATATCAGAGTATTGCTTTTGAGCCCCGGCTGCTCTACTTCCAATCCAGCTCCCTGCTAATGTGCCTTGAAAGATGACTCAAGTGCTTGTGCCCAAGTATTTGGGTCTCTGCCACCAATGTGAGAGACCTAGTTGAGTTCCTGGCTCCTGGCTTCAGCCTAGAAGTGAACCAGCAAGATGGAAGATCTGTCTCTCCCATTCTCTATCAGCCTGCTTTTCAAATAAATGTTTTTTAAAAATACTCCAAGCACATAAAAAGAACTGTCGGGCCCATAAATCCCTGAATATAGTGCAGGGCACATAGAGAGCAATGTATTTCTTTTTTTAAAAAAAATATTTATTTGAGAGGTATAATTACAGACAGTAAGGAGAGACAGAGATAAAGGTCTTCCTTCTGTTGGTTCACTCCCCAGTTGGTCACAATGGCCAAAGCTGTGCTGATCTGAAGCCAGGAGCCAGGTGCTTCTTCCTGGTCTCCCACATGGGTACAGGGGCCCAATCACTGGGGCCATCTTCCACTGCTTTCCCAGGCCACAGCAGAGAACTGGATTGGAAGAGGAGCAGCCGGGACTAGAATCAGCACCCAAATGAGATGCTGGTGTCACAGACTGAGGATTATCCTATTGTGCCATGGTGCCAGGCCCCAAGAGAAATGTATTTCTAAAATTAGCTTTACTACTAACTGGCAAGCACTGGGAATATAAACAGAGTAAGATGGAGTCTTGCCTTTTGGGGACTCATAATCTTGTAAGACAAACTGGTAAACAAGGAAACCATGTGAAACTATATAGAAGTAAAATCCAAAGGGTAAGAGTAATACTAGGGCCAGTGTTGTGGCACAGAGAGAGAGTTAAGCATCTGCTTCAACACATCCCATATCAGAGTACAGGTTCAGGTCCTAGCTGCTCTGCTTCCAGTATAGCTTCCGGCAAATAATGGCCCGAATACTTGGGTCCCTGCCACCCATGTGGGAGACCAGGATAGAGGTGCAGGCTCCTGGCTTCAGCTTGACCCAGCCCTGGCTGACTGACCATCTGGGGAGTGAACCAGGGGATGAAGATCTCTATCACTCATTCTCTCTCTGTAGCTCTTTCAAATAAATCTTTAAAAAAAAAAAGTAATACTGAGTTAAAAATGACTAGTACAGAATATTTAGTCTCTATGTGAGAAATAAAGGGATGCTTTGCAGAACAAATTACTTAGAGGGAGTTTGTTGTTTAACTGGTTTACTGTTGATATAGTTATAAAATTTAATGTAAATTAAAATAAGGATTCATGAAATAATTGTCATACTTTTTTAGGATTTATTTTATTTATTTGAGAGGCAGATTTACAGAGAAAGAGAGGGAGAGACACAGAGATTTTCTATATGCTGGTTCACTCCCCGAATGGCTGCAACAGCCAGGGTTGGGCCAGCCCAAAGCCAGGGGACAGGGTCTTCATCTAGGTGTCTCTTGTGAGTGGCAGGGACCCAGGCACTTGGATTATCTTCTGTTGCTTTCTCAGGCCACCAGCAGAGAGTGGATTGGAAGTGGGGCATCTAGAACTCAAACCTGCACCCATATGGGATGCTGGCACTGCAGGTGGTGGCTTTACCACCTATGCCACAATGCTGGCCCCATAACTGTCATACTTTAAAAATATTTGCTAGAATCTGTTTTCTTAACAAAAAATAAAAATTGAAGGAGAGGGACAGGAATAAAATCTCTTATTTTAATATTTATTTATTTATTTGAAAGATTGACAGGGAGAAAGAGAGGACATCACTGGTTCACTCCCCAAATGCCTACAATAGCCAGGGATAGGTCAGGCCAAAGCCAGGACCCAGGAATTCCATTTTGGTCTCCCACACAGGTAGCAGGAACTTGAGTACATGGACCATCAACTCCTGCTTCTGAGGTTCATTAGCAGGCAGCTGGATTGGAAACAGAGTCGGGACTTAATCTCAGGCACTCCAGTAACCCAGAATGCGGACATTCCAACCAGTGGCTTAACCTACTGCCCCACAATTTCCACCCCTAAATATCTTTTATAGGGTAAACATCAATAAAAACTGCTTTATTCTTAAATTTTTTTAACTAGAGAAAAAAATAGATTAAATATATTTCTTTTAAACTATTAGATAACCACTACCAAAATAAAAATTTTTATCATTTATTTAGCATGTAACTTCGGGCCAATGATAGTGTTGAACACTTGTCTGAAAAATATTTAATGATGTAGGAAAATAAAATACAGTTAGTGAATGATTCCAAAAATCAGGTACTAAAATAAGATCACAATTTTGTTTTTTCAGTATAAAGTTGCATAGAAAAAAATTTTTAAATGCGTATTCCTAAATAATAAAAGTACCACCTCTGGGTAATGGAAATGATTGCTGACTTTGATTGCCTGTAAGTGCTTTATTTGTCTATTTCCCAAATTGGTGGTTAGCTTATTAATTCTAAAATAAAAGAAGTTTGAAAAAGTATTAAATTTGCATTTCAGAGTGAGCAATTTAATTAAAGAGGAGTTTTTGGGGTTTTTTTTTGCTTTTTGTTTTTTTGTTTTGTTTTGTTTTGTTTTGTTTTGCTTTTTTAAGATTTACTTGAAAGAAAGAGTGACACAGAGGGAGGAGGGGAGGGGAGAGAGCAAGCTTCCATCTGCTGGTTTACTCTCCAAATGGCCACACCAACTAGCCAGCCTGGACAAGCCAAAGCTAGGAACCTGGAACTCTATCTGGGTCTTCCATGTGGGTGGCAGGGACCCAAATACTTCACCTATCTTCTGCTGCTTTCCCAGTTGTGTTAGCAGGGAGCTGGATTGGAAGCAGAGTGCCCAAGACTCAAAGGTGCTCCATTATGGCATGCTTGCTTTGCAAGCGGCTGCTTAAGCCACCATGTCACCACAATAACCCCTAAAGGGAGAATTTTCTGATGAGAATTTTCAGTAGGTACAAGGAGAAAGGAGCTTTTAACCCATTAGCATCATTTATTTGTGTCTTTTCAAAGATAGAGATAGAGAATAATTTACTCTTCAAAATTTCTTGTAAGCCAAATATACATAAATGTTATTCCCTTATTTTTTCCCCCAGAGTTATATACACACCAGGCCACACGGATGATCATATGGCCCTGCTGCTGGAAGAGGAAAATGCTCTCTTTTCTGGAGATTGCATCCTAGGGGAAGGAACAACCATATTTGAAGACCTGTATGATTACATGAACTCCCTAAAAGAACTACTGAAAATCAAAGCAGATATCATATATCCAGGTAGGTAACTTTTTAAATCTCTTCAAACTATTGCCAAATGATGAGGGGAGTTCCTTTTGGCTTGACTGTGCGTGGATGTGTATTCTGCCTCCAAAATGTATACATGTGGGGCTGGTGCTGTGGCACAGCAGGTTAAGCCATCATCTGTGGGGAGCAACTCGGACTAGACTAAGTTACTGGAATTAAGACTTATTCTGTGCATCTGCTCTCCCACAATATGGCGCTGGGAGAGGAGTAAACAACTTCTACACAGCTGCCTCCAGTTCGACCAATAACCTGCAGGAGCTGATCCTGCTCCTGATTGGAGGAGAGCAGCGTACTCGGCGTGTGGGTAGCAGAGTTGGGATTGGTGGAAGAGGACTATAAAGGAGGAGAGAGACAACATGCACCAGGAACATCTAAAGGGAACATCCGGATAACATCTGAGCAGCCCCCGAGAGAGCCGGCCGGTGGTGTGCCGCTCCCCCGCGGAAGTGGGGAAAGTGGCAGGGGGAGCCACCCTTCCACGGAGGTGGAAGGGTCAGCAGCCAACCCGGGAAGGACCAGCAGCAAACCCGGGAAGGGCCGAGCAGACAAAAGAACAGCGCAGGGTCTAGTGTCGTTCCTCCGTGAAGAGGGGGAGCGACAATCATCTGCAGCGCCGGCATCCCATAAGTGTGCCAGTTTGAGTCCCAGCTACTCCACTTCCAGTCCAGCACCCTCATACTGTGCCTAAGAAGGGAGTGGAGCCAGCGCCGCGGCTCAATAGGCTAATCCTCTGTCTAGCGGCGCCGGCACACCGGGTTCTAGTTCCGGTCTGGGCGTCGGATTCTGTCCCGGTTGCCCCTCTTCCAGGCCAGCTCTCTGCTGTGGCCCAGAAGTTCAGTGGAGGATGGCCCAGGTCCTTGGGCCCTGCACCCGCATGGGAGACCAGGAGAGGCACCTGGCTCCTGGCTTCAGATCAGCGCAGTGCACCAGCCCGCAGCAGCCGTTGAGGGGTGAACCAACGGTAAAGGAAGACCTTTCTCTCTGTCTCTCTCACTGTCCACTCTGCCTGTCAAAAAAAAATAAAAATAAAAAAGAAGAAGAAGAAGAAGGGAGTGGAAAATGGCCCAAGTACTTAGGCCCTGGCATCCATATGGGAGACCTGGGTGAAGTTTTGCTCCTGACCTCAGCCTGGCCCAGACCTGGCCATTGTGGCCATTTAGGAAGTGAACCAGTAGAGGAAGGATCTCTCTCTCCTCTCTCTGTAACTCTGACTTTCAAATAAATCAATAAAATCTTTTAAAAAAAATGAATGGCTTGTAATTATCCACCTAGAAAAATCAGTTAACATTTAAAAAAAAAAAGAAAAGAGAATATAGATGTGTGTAAACTGCTTCTTTAAATGACACCACTAGGGGCCAGTGCTGTGGTGTAGCAGGTAAACCTGCCGCCTGCAGTACCGGCATCCCTTATGGACGCCAGTTCAAGTCTCGGCTGCTCCACTTCTGATCCAGCTCTCTCCTATGGCCTGGGAAAGCAATGGGAGACCAGGAGGAAGCACCTGGCTCCTGGTTTTGGATCGGGACAGTTTCAGCCTTTGTGGCCAATGGGGGAGTGAACCAGAGGATAGAAGACCTCTCTCTCTCTCTCTCTCCCTTCTCTCTCTCTCTCTCTCTGCCTCTCTGCCTCTCCTTCTCTGTGTAACTCTTTCAAATAAATAAATAAATCTTAAAAATAAAATAAAACAAATGACACCATTAAGTCTTATCCAACTGTAGATAAACAAAGGACTAACAGTTACATTAATAACCTTTTATAAAGACAGGAGGATTATTTTTCGGCATCTACACAGCTTTAATAGCACTGTGAAAGGAAATAAGGTTACACTGGAATGGGAACATCAGCTGCAGTCTCTTTTGTTAACTTGATTCCTGTTGTGGAGCACATGTTAGCTGTGTAGCCCTGAGTAACATCTGACATCTGAGCTTTAGTGTCTTAACTGACAAGATTGAAATATCAGTAGCTTCTGTCTCAACTATTAGATGATGTATTTATTTCCATTGTCCAGAAAAGAAAAATGCACCTGTTGTTTCTAGCTCAGATATCACTGCACTGATCCATAGCAGGAATCCCCCCCACCCACCCACCTAAGAAAGACACAGGAGCCAACAGGAAGTGGCAGAATGAAAGATGGCTGGGGTGCTTGATTTTTCTAAGTCCTAACTTGCTGCTGACTAAACAGCCATGAGAAGATCTGTCAGTACAGCCTCCTGAATATGCTTACTCTCTCTCACAAGGGCCGACTGCTGAGAGTAGGAAACCCACGGCAGGGCTGGGCATTCACTTTCCTGGTATGACATAAAAACAACAGACACTGGTCGGTGTTTTTAAAGAGCAGCGTGTAGATGTTCAGTGCACTCGCATTTATGCTGCGCTGAAGAGAGGCTGCCTACTAAAGGTGCCTCAGTGCTTGCTTCAGTGACTCCCGCAGTCTGGCCTGTTAGCCGGCCACTGTTTATGTGTCAATTACATTCCATAGTCACAGCCACCATGTATTAAAGCTGCCACCAGGTAAGGTGCAGGGGCTTTTACAGTTGTCATCCTCCCCAGAATCTGTGCAGCAGTTAGTGGTATCCTCAGTGCACAGCTGGACAAAAAAGAAAAAAGGCTCAAGGAGTTTCAGAGATGTCCTCATTGCCACACGGCTAATGGTATTTGTGTCTAACCAAAGCCCGTGCAGTTACCTAAGAATAGGTTCACGCGCATCTCTAACATGAGTATATAATTTTTAATAGATCCTGGTCACTTACATGAAGCTGCTTTTTACATTGCCCCTTTTCAGTCTTTTGTAATTTAGCATAGCATAGCGGTGAAGCTCTACCCATTCTTAGCTGTGTAGCCGTGAGCAGCGATCACCCCCAGTCTTCAATTGCTGCTATACAAAAGGGATCATCATAATAGTCCAGCCATGGGCTTCTGGTAACAGTAGTCTGTACTGAGCTTGAAGAGCAGGGCCTGCAACATTCTGAGCGCTCTCTAAGCATCGCCTGTTGTTACTGTTGTGCTTGCTGTCTTACTGCTGTCTTTTATTGTTATATTAAATTGTCACATTTGATAGTTTTTAATGCATACAATAACAATTTATATAAATTGTATTTGATTTAATTCTGTAAAGTTTTTGGCATTGTGAATAATTTTTAAATCTCATATCTGTATGGCTTTCCAAATACTTCATATGTTTGTATTTATTAGTATACTCTTTCAATACATTATATGAATTATTTTTAAATAGCATGATTCAACTTCATTTGTACTTAAAATATTTTCATCTGGTTGAAGTAATTTTTATAATTATTTTAATTCAGGACATGGCCCAGTAATCCATGATGCTGAAGCTAAAATTCTACAGTACATTGCTCACAGAAATACTCGAGAAGAGCAAATTCTTACATTATTTCGTGAGAACTTTGAGAAATCATTTACAGCAAAGGAGCTTGTAGAAATTATTTACAAGGTAATTCTCATCTAATTTTACATAGCCACAAATTTATTAGAATAACTTACTTAATGGACTGTGATAAATTTACCACATCACAGATCAGAACAACTCTTTTTTGTTTTTAAGATTTATGTATTTATTTGAAACGTAGCATCACACAGAGAGAGGGAGATACACAGTGAGAGAGATCTTCCATCTGCTGGTTCACTCCACAAATGGCAACAAAAGCTAGGGCTGGGCCAAGCTGATGCCAAGAGCCAGGAACTCCATCCATGTCTCCCACATGGGTGGCAGGGACCCAAGCACTTAGGACATCTTCAGCTGTTTTCCCAGGCATATCAGCAGGGAGCTAGATCAAAAGTGGAGCAGCCAGGACTCGAACCAGCACTCATATGGGATGCCAGCATTGCAGGTGGTAGATTAACCCACTGTGCCACAATACCAGCCCCTAGAACAAGTCTTAGTCCCATAAGTAATGCAGTTTTGTAGATTTAATACCAGAAGTCTAAACTTCTAGAACACTGAGATCAAACAAAAACTGGCCTTAGAAAACTAAAATAGCTATCCTGAGCCATCATTAACCTTAGAATCCTTATTCTGTAGGAAACACTGCTACCAACAGCCAGATGCTTAAGCTTGATAATAACTTTTATATTCTTTTTTTAAAGATTTATTTATTTATTTGAAAGTCAGAGTTACACAGAGAGAGGATAGGCAGAGAGAGAGAGAGAGAGAGAGAGAGAGAGAGAGAGAGAGTCTTCCATCGGATGATTCATTCCCCAGTTGGCCGCAACAGCCCGAGCTGCGCTGATCTGGAGCCAGGAGCTTCTTCAGGTCTCCCTCATGGGTGCAGGGACCCAAGGACTTGGGCCATCTTCCACTGCTTCCCCAGGCCATAACAGTGAGCTGGATTGGAAGTGAAGCAGCCGGGACTTGAACCAGCATCCATATGGGTTGGCGGCGTTTCAGGCCAGGGCGTTAACCCGCTGCGCCACAGCGCTGGCCCCAACTTCTATATTCTTAAGCCATCTTCTGATGGCCTAGCCTGCAGCAAATGAGGAGTAATCTTCCAGAGACAAATATTGTGAAAATAGCAGTGAGAAGTTGTAGAAATGCTTAATCATAAAGAAAACATAAAATAGGTGCTGGCACTGTGGCACAAGAGGTTAATCCTCCACCTGCGGTGCCAGCATCCCTTATGGGTGCCTGTTCTAGTCCAGGCTGCTTCTCTTCCGATCCAGCTCTCTGCTGTGGCCTAGGAAAGCATTAGAAGATGGCCCAAGTCCTTGGGCCCCTGCACCCACATGGGAGACCCAGAAGAAGCTCCTGGCTCCTGGCTTCGGATCGTCGCAGCTCCAGCAGTTGCGGCCATCTGGGGAGTGAACCAATGGAAGGAAGACCTCTCTGTCTCTTTCTCTCACTGTCTGTAACTCTACCTCTCAAATAAATAAATAAAATCTTTAAGAGAAAATACATAGCAAAGAACATACATGATTTTTTAAAAGATTTTATTTATTTATTTATTTGAGAGGTAGAGTTACAGACAGTGAGAAGTAGAGAGAGAGAGAGAGAGGTCTTCCATCCACTGGTTCATTCCCCAAGTGGCCACAACGGCCAGAGCTGCGCTGATCTGAAGCCAGGATCCAGGAGTTTTTCCACGTCTCCCACACAGGTGAAGGGACCCAAGTGCCTAGACCATCTTCCACTGCTTTTGCAGGTCATAGGAGAGCGCTGGATTGGAAGTGGAGCAGCCAGGAGTTGAACCGGCGCCACAGGGAGAGGATTACTGTGCCACAATGCCAGTCCCCGCATACGTGATTTAGTACAGGAGAAAAGAGCTGCTCACTCAGTGGCCTCTCAGCATGTCACTGTGTGACAGCACTATCTGGCAATCAGTGCAGTTCAGTCTTTCAGCAAATATTTATTATATATCTGCAATGCAGGTAATATAGCTCAGTGGTTAAAGATGCTGGCTTTAGAGTAAAATGATCTATGTTCACAAATTCCTACTGCCGCAATTTGTACAGCCATAAAATACATTGCACACCATCAAAAAGAAGAAGACAGCCAATTATCCAACTCAGTAAACATCAATGTTAAAGGGAAGTCTTGGGAAGAAATTTCAAGGGGCCGGCACCGTGGCTCACTTGGTTAATCCTCTGCCTGCGGCGCCAGCATCCCATATGGGTGCCGGGTTCTAGTCCTGGTTGCTTCTCTTCTAATCCCCCTCTCTGCTGTGGCCCGGGAAGGCAGTGGAGGATGGCCCAAGTGCTTGGGCCCTGCACCCGCATGCAAGACCAGTAGGAAGCACCTGGCTCCTGGCATCAGATCGGCGTAGCTCTGGCCATAGCAGCCATTTGGGGGGTGAACCAATGGAAGGAAGACCTTTCTCTCTGTCTCTCTCTCTCACTGCCTAACTCTGTCAAATACAAAATTTTAAAAAGGGAAGAAAGTTCAGGACAAAGACTAATGGTGAGAGACATGGAGGTCTTCAAAAAGGAGAGATTAGCTTGCTGACTCTGGTACCGCAAGACTGAAAATAATCCAGTGAGTTTTGATTGAGATAATTTGGTGATCTTAGCAAACATTTTCAGAGAGCTAAGAAGTAAAGATAGTGTATTTAATCAAGAAATTTGGTTTCACAGATTTTGCTTTGCTTTTCATTCAGCTAACTGTTGTCAATATTACATTGCTATTTTAGCAAAAGAAAAAGTTGTGATATGTAAGTGATAAGTTGAAGTAAATCTACTTTTTATAAAAAACATGCAATTATGTAATCTAATATAAAAAGCCAGCTGTCTGTAGTAGCATCAAAACTGTATAAGACTAATTTTCATTGATATAGTCCTTCATGTATAAAGTATTAATGAGTTCCTACTATATGCCATTATACTAAATATGGGGTTATTCATAGTGAACAAAACAGACTTGCAACTATCTTTATGGGGTCTACAGTCTATATTATCTGCAGGAATATATGTAGAAATATGGTGACCTGAAAAATATGTACAACATGAAATTCTTTAGTTATTACAATTTTAGAGTATATTTAGGGGTGGACATGTAGTGCAGTGGTTAAGACACTGCTTGGGAGACCCACTCTCTGGTGTAACAGGTTAAGCCACCATATGTGGCACCAGCACCCATATGGGTGCTGGTTTGAGTCCTGGCTTCTCCACTTCTGATCCAGCTCCCTGCTAATGCACCTGGGAAACCAGCGGAATATGGCCTAAGTGCTTGGGCCCCTCCACCCATGGGAGAGACCTGGATAAAACTCCTGGCTCCAGCCTGGTTCAGCCAGGGATATTGTGTCCATTTAGGGAGTGAACCAGCAGATTGAAGATGTGTGTGTGTGTGTGTGTGTGTGAGTGTGTTCTTTCTCTGTTTCTCCCTCCCTCTCTGTAATTCTTTCAAATAAACAAATAAACTCTTAAAAAAAAAAAAAAAAAAAAAGCACTGCTTGGGACCTCCACATCCCATATTGGAGTTTCTGTTTTGAATCCTGGCTCCTCTGCTTCTGATCCAGCTTCCTGAAGTTGCACACCTTGGGAGGCAGCAGATGCAGGCTCTCATTAGGTAAACCTGGATGGAGTTCCAGGCTTCGGTGGCATTTGGGAAGTCAATCAATGAATGGAAGATTTTTCCTTGTCTCTCTGCCTTTCAAATAAAAATGAACATAAAAAAATAAAAATTATTTAAATGTTTGTTAAACTTCTTTTATTATATTTTCTTTAAAGGTTTCAAAAAGATAAGCTTTTTTTTTTTAGTAAATGTTTTTCATTCACCTTTGTTTTCTTTTAGAATATTCCTGAGAACTTACATAAAATGGCTGAACATAATGTCTCTCTTCATTTGAAAAAACTAGAAAAAGAAGGAAAAATATGTAAGTACACTTTTGAATCTTAATTCTTTTATCACCAGCATTTTGTCTTAAAGATGTATTTATTCATTTATTTAAAAGGCAGAGAGAGAGAGACAAAGAGAGAAAGAATGCTTCCATCCACTGTAAAATACTTTAACAGATACACCAGTTTTCTTTTAGGAAAAATAGCATCCTTCAGAGTTCTCCCTTGAATATCACTCTTAAGTAGGAGAGCTAGGTCCTAGGAAGGTTAGTGGCACTAAGGCAGTACATCACACATTGGATCCACAGCTCCCACAGCAATTAGAATGGCACTTAAGGTTCCAGTGCTCACCTACAAGAGTGACAGGCAAAGGCAAGTCAAGAAGATAGCTTCTCTTTTCCCATACCACAAGACCACGAAGAGTTTTATGAGTGAAAGAACTGGGAACACCCAGAGGTTTTAATTAGTAGTAAAGGCAGTAAACTCAAATATATTAAATCAGTCATTCTGTAATTATTTACTAGTGACAGAAGTTTTACATTAAAACAAGCAGTTAAAGGCTTGAGTTTCATGTGGAAGCCTCCAAGTGTTTATACATATAAAGAAAAATGACTCTGCTGAGCAACAGAATTACTTTAAAGAATGAGAGTTTCTTCTAGCCACAAGACAACTTAAAATCCAATAGATTTACTTATCTGTTGTTAAATTTTACTCTCTTTTTCTTTCCACAGTCAGAAGCACAGATCCTGGCAAGAAATGGAGAGCTGTTCTTTAGTTTCAGATTAATTAAAGCTTTGTTCCATTTTGCTTTTAGAGAGGATGGTATGTTTTCTTACGGCTCATTTAGAGAGAACATAAGAGTGGGGAACATTGAAAATTACCCTAAAGATCATTAAAATAATGTCATGATTATTCTGAAATCAATAAATTACATTACACATCTACAATACAGGTATTTCAGAATTTTACCAAAAATTCAGAATCCAACAGTTTATTGCTGTTTAATAATAATCATTAGTGGTTACTTTAAAATAATAAAATTTGTATAATTTAAAATGGATAATTTTCTTGGAGATTAGTTTTCTGTTACCAGTTATCAATAATATTTTATCGGCCAGCGCCGTGGCTTACTAGGCTAATCTTCCGCCGCCTGTGGTGCCAGCACACTGGGTTCTAGTTCCGGTTGGGGCACTGGATTCTGTCCTGGTTGCTCCTCTTCTAGTCCAGCTCTCTGCTGTGGCCTGGGAAGGCAGTGGAGGATGGCCCAGGTCCTTGGGCCCTGCACCCGCATGGGAGACCAGGAGGAAGCACCTCGCTCCTGGCTTTGGGTCAGTGCAGCACGCCAGCCACAACACGCTGGCTGTAGCAGCCACTTGGGGGGTGAACCAACGGAAAAAGGAAGACCTTTCTCTGTCTCTCTCTCTCTCACTGTCTAACTCTGCCTGTCAAAAATAAATAAATAAAAGAAAAATAAATAAATAAAAAATTAAAAAATATCATTTTCTTTAGCTGCACAGATTTAAATGTGCTCCTAAATTTTCCTCAACCCTTGTCTTACATAAAGACAAGGGTTTTATTATCTGTAGATAATAGCTTTATTTTCATGTTTCTGTCAATTTCATTATGATTAAGTATTGGTTCTGTAGTTTTGTGTATTGTTATAATGATATCCCACAAATGATATGTGGAAAGCAACTTTTGGTAATTGAAAAATGTTAAATGCACAACTAAAAGCATTATGTGGTGAATTATTTTTGAAGTTCATTATTACAACCAATGTATATTCCAACTTTACCTCTTATTATATGGTCATCAGCTTATATGTTAATTATATTTGAAAAGTCTATTTTTAAATTAAAGGGTTATAAGATAGGGCATTTCTTATAATACTGGTTTTCTTAATAGTAGTTACATTCACAAGGTAGCCTATTTTCAATTCCCAGTTAAAAGTAACCCATAAAGTGGCCAAACTACCATATAAAAATAAGCTAAAAATTGTTAAGAAGGTATATTTTTTACTCTCCACTAAATAACTAATATACAAATTAAAAATTTTTTTCATTGACATGCTCATCTCCTTTTACCCCTTTTCCCAAGGTTCCTAGTATTTTCCTAGTATTCTAATCCACTTATTCTCATGTCTTGGAAACCTTTTGTACTCCCAGTACTGTTCCACATTACAAAATAACCATAAACTCAACAACCAAAAAATACACCAAAAGAAGTGCCCATTTTCCACAGAAGATATGCAGATGATCAATAAGCACATCAAGACTTCAACATCAATAATCATTGGAGAAATGCAGATCAATACAACAAGATACCACTTTATACCCATTAGGATGGCTATTTTTTAAAAAGACCAGAAAATAGCAAATATTAGAGAAGACATGGAGAATTGCTGATGGGAGTATAAAATGATATAGCCACATGGAAAACAATATGGTGCTTCCTCAAAACTTTAAGCACAGAATTAGTAGATGATCCAGCAATTCCACTTCTGAGAGTATATTCCAAAAAAATTAAATTAGTACACCCACGTTCACAATAGCATTATTCACAGCAATCAAGGTGGAAACAACCTAAGTGTCCATTGAAAAATGATTAGATAAATAAAATATGGTACATACATACAAAAGGATGCTACTCTACAAAATTCTGATACATGCTGTAGCATGGGTAAACCTTAAAGACGTTATGCTAAGTGAAATAAGGCAGTCACAAAAAGACAATATTGTGTAACTCCACTTATATGAGATACTCAGAACAGTCAAATTCATGGAGACAGAAAGTAGAGTGTTGGCTGCCAGGGATGGTGAACAGAGGATAGAAGAGAGTTACTGCCTTGTTTTTGGGTGAGGAGTTTCGGTGGTGGTGGTGACTGCAATATAATGTAAGTGTGATGCACTGGATACTACCTTTAAAAACAGTTAAAATGGTAATTTTAAAAATAATAACTAAGTATCCTCTCCAGTAGCACTACAGAAAGTGAAAAAGTCCATACTTCCATTCCATGAATTGAATGCATATCAGCCAAATGTAAACAGAAATCTGATAAAGTGAAAATATGAATGAGTTTTCTTCTGAACTTGCTTCACCTCCATTCTCTCCTCTCTTTGAATGAAAACACCATTCATGTGGTCAAATCAGACAGTATTCTTGATGCCTCCCTCCCTCATATCATGCCCAAATCTTCACCAAGTACCTACTGCCTATTCTGCCCCCAAAATTTATCACTCCCTCTTATTCCACCAGCACTCTTGAACCCAGGCCATCCTCTTACCTAAACTAGCATGATCACCTTCAATTCTGTGCTCCCTATGTCTATTCTTGGAAGAGATTAGAGGACAAGGATGATTAAAGGCCTTCTGGGCCAGGGGAATCTCTGGTAAAAGTCATGGGATCATGGTCTAAAAGGTACTGTGGCATACCTCAGATGCTGCAGTAGATTTATTGGAACAGGGATAATAATGGAAGCTGATTAAATGTATTGGCTGGTGAGAGTCTGAGAACTTTAGTGAAAACAGGCATTCACTGCATGTATGTTTTATGCCAGGTACTGGGCTAAACAGTGGGAATACAGAGGCAAACAAAACAGCACCTGTACTCTCAAAAGAAGCTCATATTCTAGTTGTAGAGACATAATTACAATATGCAGTACCACAGCAAGTTTCTGGAGTGCAGTGGTTATCGTGCTCACCTCACAATATGCAGTACCATTAAGTTTGCTTGGAGTAAAGGAAGAGTATGTAACTTGGCTGGGATATCAAGAGTTGCTTAGAGGAGCCTAAGTAACCAGATGAAGTTAGGGATATTTGTTTGGGAGACAGGAGGCAGTATTCCATTTAGAAGAACTAGCACATGTGCATAAACAGGGCACGGCATCACAGGGTTGGAGAACGAATTTGTATGACTAGAATATAAGGTGCTTGTGGGTTGAAGTTATAGGGAGAGCAAGGATCTCATGGGAACACAGAAATCACACAAGAACCACTATGTTGTCTTTAGCCCTGCTTCCCCTTGCTACCACCATCCCTCTTATCTGCAGAGAATAAATTCCAAGACCTGCTGTGGATGGCTGGAACCTGATAGTATCAAATTCCATTATGTAATACAGTTTCTCATTTATACGTACCCATGTTAAAGGTTTATAAATTAGGCACAGTAAGAGATTACAATGCCTAATAGACTAATAATAAAGTAGAAAAGAATAAATGAATGTGGTCTCAAAATATCTTGTTGTACATTGACTGTTTCACTTAAAAGAAGCACTTTATGGCTTCTCTCTTTTGGTATAGCCAAAACCCCAGCATCTCTACTCCTGTGCTCTGGGGCCGTTACTAAATAAAATAAAAGTTTACTTGAACACAAGCACTGAATGCCACCACGGTCAATCTGATGAACTGAGATGGCTATTAATAGGTGAGCAGCATCTACAGCATGGATATGCTGGAGGAAGAAATGCTTCCCATCCCAGGCCAGACAAAAGGAAATGGTGCAGGAGTTAATCACACGACACAGAGTGGGATGCAATTTAAAACTTAGGAATTATTTGTTTCTGGAATGTTCCATGAAATATTTTCAGACTGTAGTTGACCAAGGGTAACTGAAACCACAGAAAAATGAAACCACAGCTAAGGGGATACTACTAGGAATTGGAAAGCAAGTCAAGTTCCAGGACAGTTGTATTATTATTTTGTGGTCTCCACAACAGCAAGAGTTTTCCCTTCCATTATGGTGACTTTGTGCCACTCTGTGTTTCTAGCACTCCAGCCAATTACTTTACTCTGCACTCAGTATACTCAGTAGTTTTGGATTACTCATAGTTGCTGCTTTCTCATTTTCGGTTTACTCAGGAGTTTCAACAATCTTCTTGTCAACACCTGTGTCTTCTCTCTGCCATCTGAAACTTCTGTTTTACAGAAGAAGACCTAGTTGGTACAATTATGCTCTGAAACAGTTTCCTTGCAATACTGTTCTTCATGTTACTAACCAGCTTTTATGGTGACTGCAGTAGACCAATCATCTGAACCCCACTTTAACAGAGGCAGAGGGCAGGGTAGGCATTCTGAAATTGGTCTTTTCAGCACAGTGGGGGAAGGAAAAAGCAGAAGGAGATAACAGGAGAAATATTTAAGAGAAATAAAACACACTTATTAGACCTTGAGAGATGGGATTCAGGTAGGAAAGGAGAAGTCTAAAAGAGCTATGGATTTCTGGCTTTCACAGCTGGGTGGATGATGATGAGAGAATACAGGAAAAAGGGTAGGACACGTGCAGAAAGGAGAAAAGATGATAGTGCACTATAGATAACAGTTTGCAGTACAAGACAACATGCGGAGGGGATAATTCATAGGCTCTGAGGTATATGGAATTGGGGCTAAACAGATTGTTTCAGATGACAGAAACTTAGAAGGGCAAGTTGAGAAGGACAAAGATGGAACTAGGCTTAAGAACATGATCAAAGAGGACCAGCATTGTGGAATAGCAGGTAAAGCTGCCCCTCTGATGCCAGCACCCCATATTGATGCCTGTTGAGTTCTGGCTGCTCCACTTCCAATCCAACTCCCTGCTAATGCACCTGGGAAAGCAGTGGAAGATGGCGCAAGTCCTTGGGCCTCTGCACACCCACATAGGAGACCCAGAAGAACCTCCCAGCTCCTGGCTTCAACCTGGCCCAACCCTAGCTGTTGTGGCCATTTGGGGATTGAACCAGTGGACGGAAGATCCATCCCTTTCTTCCCACCCCTGCCCCACCCCACCTCCACTGCCTTTCAGATAAATAAATCTTAAAATACACACACACCCCTACA